AACTCAAGCAGCTACAAGAAAATGACTGCATTCAGAAATATCTGAATATAATGAGAAGAAAATTAATCAGATATAGTCTGTTAAAACAGTTATATACTACCTTTCAATAATTTGTTTCATTACAGTCTCTCATTATTTTACTTTATCTTTTTCTTTCTATTCTTTTCTATCTATCTATTTAATGTATCTATCTTTAAGACTGTGTTCTCTTTTCTTTTATCATGTCAAATGATTTCAAAGTATCAGAAGATGTTAAAATACTGCAATTTGTAAACAGTTTTTATATTCTGAGCTGGAATTTTCTGATTTTATATATCTGAAATTGATGAATGTATAATAGTTAACTGTATAGATATAGGAAAAACCCTGAGAACTTTTAGTTCTCAGGTAGATATCATAGCCTCTGACTGCATACATCTATAATTGAAGAATAATAATAATAATAATAGATACAAACTCATTAAGAAAATCTCAAAGTGCTCAGTTGATATACTTCTGAAATATACTGAGAGTGTTAGTCAGTTCAAAGAGTGTGACTACTCATTTAAAGAGGTCATAACATGTTCAGAATGCTGTAAGTCATTCATCTTCTTCAGTGATAGAAATCTTATAAAACACAGTGATGATATCTAGCTTTGTAAATCATTAAGCTTATCTGATATATACTAGAGTTTCATTGATGAGAGATAAGAGATAATAATCTTTCTTTATTAATCTGTTCAGATCTCAGTAATTCACACAGAAAAAGAGTTCTTTATCTGACTTCTTTGCAAAGAGAATAGAAGCTGCAGTAGAAGAGTTACTAACACATATAAATTTCTTATTCAACGGATTATTGAGTGTCTTTCAAAGAAGAAGGAGTTCATCTCAAGATATATTATAAAGAGAGTCTTACAGTGACTCAGAGTTATTATTATTCTTCTTTGCTAACTTAATACTGTAATTCACTTCTGAGTCTTATAAAGAGAACATATTCATAATATTATCTTATCAGAAGACATCTAGGTATTCATAATATTATTAAGAGAGTTTTGTGTAAGAATCTGTTATTACAGTATAGAATAACTTTTCTAGAACTTTCTTAATATTAATTAGACTGATGAAATAGATTGATATATAGTTCTGCTATCAGTGACTTTATTAGTAACTCTATCAGCAGTTTTGATGATGACTTCTTTTTCAAAGCACTTCATAAGTGTTGACAGAGATCTGTGTAAGATTTATAGTCTTGTGAATATCATCTTCATAAATTCTATTATTATTAAAGAATATTAAGCTTCTGTTTTATGTATTCAATAAGATATCTTGTTCAGATAGTCAGACAAGTTCTAGCATGAGATCATAGTCAAGATTTTCAACTTCATATGCATAGACATCTTCATGTTGATGTTCTTTAACATCTATGTTTAGTTTCATTATATAATGAGTGTGAATGTCTTTTGAATTATCAAATTCTGTGAGAAGTTAAGGTCTTGATAAGAGAATATGCTGAAGATTTAATCCTTGCATAATAGCATAGACTGCTGTCTATTATGACTTTTATATTATATATATTATCTACTACAGTAGATATAAGAATTGCATTTATTGTCATTTTCTCTTCAAATTATTATTATCTGATCTCTTCAAGCTTCTGCTTGTAAATTTGAACAGAATTTAATCTTTTTTCTGTTTCATTGAGATAGTTTTATAGTTATCTTCTGAATCCTTCTCTAATGTAATGTGATTGATATAGACAGGCACTGATTTATTCTTTGAACAAGGAGATACATGAGCTGATTAACAGTTGAAAGTAATACACTCTGATCAGTTACAGTTAATATATACTTCTCATTGACATTAATCAGTGACTTCTTCAGAAGTGATTTCAGGAACTCAGAAGCCTGTTCAGACATTGAAGACTCTTACTTATATATAGATATTCAAGTCTACTCAGTTTATAGCATCAGCATTATTGTTATTATTTCTCAGTGTAGATGTGTGATTGACTGAGTTATTTCTCAGCACAGATATATGAATGTAACATCTTCTATCACTGTTCTATATACTCTTGAGCTTGATAAGACAGTTATTTAATATTCAGAGCTGTGTGTAGAAATCTTTATAAGTCTGATCTTTGTCTATACTTACAAGAGTCTGTAAGAGTTCAAAAGTTAATATCTTTTTAAGCATACTAATCTTCATTCAATTCTCTCAAGATTAATTACCTGCTTCTAGAATCTTGATGTTGAAGTCAGAGATGAATATTATAAGAGAAGTATTTCTCTGTTAAGTACTCTGTAATCAATTTAACACTTTCTGTTGTATAACAGTGTCTTGAAACAGAATATCAAGATATTTGATGATATTATCAGACATTCATAACACTGGTTCACATGCTTTCATTCATGAATGAAACTTCTGTTTCATGCGATTTTTCAATTATTCATTGATATATTAATCTTGATTAGTTAATGAATCAATGACATCTTCATCTACACTCAGTTTCATGAGCATTTTCATTCTTTATGATGAGTAGAGAGTGAGATCAGAAGCATTAAAATATGTAAGAGTATCTAAGTATTCTTTCAGTGCTTTTATATTCAATTCTGTCAGTATTGAAATTGTCTGTACAGAGATTTCTTATTGAGATAATTGTTGAATTTCTTTATATTGATATTGTTAAGTTGCATGCATATCAGCTATTTATTGTTATTGTAATTTCAACATTGCTCAGAGTCACTGTGACACTGCATCTATACTTATGTTTGAGAGTTCTTTCATACTATCATTAGACATGATTATATTGATTGTTGAATGTGTGATATCTGTGAAATTGAAAGAAGTGTAATTGTATGAATATCTTATATATCTGTAGTGTCAGAACTCTCAGATCTTTTACTGATATTCTCTTTGTAAGATCTTGTTATAAGGTTAGAATAACTGATGAGCAAGCTTCTATCTGAGAACTCAGTGTCTGCTTTAACTGATTGTTTCTCTTTCTTATATGTTATTTACACATTCAGATATCTCTTGATGAATAATCATTTCTAATGAGAAGACAATAAACATTTTTCTAGTGTAAGAGATCTACACTGAATAGATCAGTATAATATATAGATCTTATATAATAAAGAGAAAAACATTAGAGAAGGAAACAAAGATAAAGTGTGAAAATCAGTAATTGAGATGAATATTTATACATGTATGTAGTGATGTACGCGGTGAAGCTTCAGAGTGAAAGAATAGAAATTCTGTAGATTTTCAGCTGCGAATCAGTAACTGAGAATCAGAATGTTAGAAATCTGTAAATCAACTGAGAATTGAAACAGTAGAAATCTGTGAAGTGTAACAGAATAGTCTATATAATTGATCAGACGCAGCCCGTCACATTATTCTTCAATTATAGATGTATACAGTCAGAGACTATGATATCTACCTGAGAACTTTTAGTTCTCAGAGTTTTTTCTATATCTGTAAAGTTAACTATTATACATTCATTAATTTCAGATATACAAAATCAGAAAATTTCAGCTCAGAATACAAAAACTGTTTATAAATTACAGTATTTTAACATTTTCTGATACTTTAAAATCATTTGATAATATCATGATAAAAGAAAAGAGAACACAGTCTTAAAGATAGACATATTAAATAGATAGATAGAAAAGAATTAAAAGAAAAAGATAAAGTAAAGAGAGACTGTAATAAAACAAATTATTAAAAGATAGTATATAGCTATTTTAATAGACTATATTTGATTAATTTTCTTCTCTTCATATTCAAATATTTCAGAATTTAGTCATTTTCTTATAGCTGCTTGAGTTTCTGATAGAAAGTCTATTAAGTATTTAATTTCTGTCTCAGTTAAGAATAAGAATCTTATATTTAATTAATTTAGATTATACTTCTTCTTCAATCTGACTCTGAGACTATTATATAATGCACAGTATATTATAATATACTTAGAATTCTTATTTACATTGCAGAATGAGCATTCTATTGAATTAAATCTATTATTAAATCTTTATATATAAGATTTGAAATAGCTATATTCTAGTTTCAGCTATATTATAGATGAGAATATTTTCTTTTCATATTTAATTAAACAAGATTTTCACTTGAATTTTGTTTTAAATCTTGAATAATGTATACTCTTCTTTTATTTCTGCTAGCTTTCATTTCACTGATCTAAATAAGATTCTTTTATTTTTCTCTTTATAAAAGATCAGAATATAATTTTTTAAATAGATCTGCTTAATTCTGAATTCTTTTTCACAGTTGAATCAGTCAATTCATTATCATGAATATTCATATAAGTAGGAACTTAGTTGTGGCGGGCTGCGCCCGATCAATCATATAGACTATTCCATTACACTCCACAGATTCTTCCATTCCCAATCGCCGATCCGCGGCCGCTACAAACGCGTGTAGTGTACACTCCAATTCTCAGCCACTCCTGATCACTGATCCGCAGCCGCTATGAACGCGCGTAGCGTACGCTCTGATTCTCAGCCATTCCCAATCACTGATCCTCGGCCGCTATGAACACGCGTATATTCTTCTGCCCCAAAGCTCCACCATGTACATCACCACATACACGTATAAATATCCATCTCAATCACTGATTCTCACACTTTCTCTTTCTTTTCTTCTCTAACATTTTTATCTTTGTTATATAAGATCTATCAATATTATACTGATCTATTCAGCGTAGGCCTCTTACACTATAAAAATGTTCATCATCTCCTTATTAGAAATGATTATTCATTGAGAGATATCTGAACACATAACAATGCATAAGAAATAGAGAAACAGTCAAACAGTTAAACAGACACTGAGTCCCCAGATAGTCCCCAGATAGAAGCTTGCTCATCAGTCACCCTGGCCCCGCAACAAGATCTTACAAAGAGAATAAAATCTTACAAGAGAACATCAGTGAAAGACCTGAGAGTTCTGACACTCAGACATATAAAAATATGATTACACTTCTTCAGATCCCACAGATATCATACATCTGACAATTGATATAACCATGTCTAATGATAATATGGAACCCTCGAACATGAACATAGATACAGTGCCACAGTGGCTTCAAGCAATGTTGAAACTACAACAACAACAAATAGCTGATATGCATGCAACTCAACAACATCAATATGAAGAGATTCAACAATTATCACAACAAGAAACTCACACAATTCCAACATCTACAGAATTGAATACAAAAGCACTGAAAGAACACTTAGATGCTCCTGTATATTTCAATGCTTTCAATCTCACTCTCTACTCATCATGGAGGATGGAAATGCTCACAAAACTGAGTATAGATGAAGATTTCATCAGTTCATTAATCAATCAAGATTGATATATCAATGAACAATTGAAGAATCGCGTGAAACAGAAGTTTCATTTATGAATGAAAGCATGCAAACCAGTGTTGTGAATGCCTGATAACATCATGAAACATCTTGATGTTCTGTTTCAAGACACTGCCATGTAACAGAAAGCATTAGATTGATTACAGAGTGCTTGACAGAGAAACACTTCTCTTACAACATTCATCCCTGACTTCAACATCAAGATTCTAGAAGCAGGTGATCAGTCTTGAGAGAATCAAATGAAGATTAGCATGCTCAAGAAGACATTGACTTTCAAACTCTTACAGGCCCTTGTAAGTGCAGATAAAGACTCAACTTATGAAGACTTCTACACACAGCTTCAGACAATGAATGACTGTCTTACCAAGCTCAAGAATATACAGAACAGTGATAGAAGACATTACACCTCAGTGACTCATACACCTGCACTGAGGAATAACAATGATGCAGATGTCATGAATTGAGTAGACTTGAATGTCTACACATAAGCAAGGGTCTTCACCATCTGAACAGGCTTTCAAGTCCCTGGGATCACTTCTGAAGAAGTCATCAATCAACATCAACATAGAGTGTGTATCAACTGTAACTGACCAGGACACATTGCTTTCAACTGCTGATCAACCTTTGTGCCTCCTCATTCAAAGAATGAATCAGTGTCTGTCCGCGCCAACCATGTTGCATTAGAGAAAGATTCAGAGAATAACTATGAGAATGCCCCAGTGAAACAGGGAAAAGATTAGCTTTTGTTCAAATTCACAAACAGGAGCTTAAAGAGGTTGAATGACAATGATTTGAAGAGAAGATGACAATGAATGCAATTCTTGTATTCACTGTGATTAATAACATGTATAATATGAAGGCCATGATAGACAGTGGTCTATGTCACTATGCAATGATAAAATCTTCAGTTGTAAGACATCATAACCTTCAGTGTATCTCTCTATCAAAACCCCGACTCCTCACAGGATTTGATGATTCAAAAGACATTTGTACCTGTTACATGGTGAAGCTGACTATAGATGTAGAAGAACATCAATGTGAAGATGCCTATGTGTATGAAGTTGATAATCTTGATTATGATCTTATGTTAGAACTTGTCTGGCTATCTGAACAAGACATCTTGTTAAATACTTGAAACAGAAGCTTGATATTCCCTAACAATGATAGAGTCCATGAAAATGATATTCACAAGATCATGAATCTGACACAGATCTCTGCCAACACATACAAAATACTCTGAAAAAGAAGTCATTATCAAAATCATCAACAGAGTTGCTGACAGCAAGATCATGTGTCAATCTATTCCATCAGTCTGACCAATATCAAAAAGACTCTAGAAAAGTTATCCTGTGTTATAACAACAGATTCTTGTACAAAACTCTCTCAACAATATCATGAATATCTAGATATCTTTCAACAAGACAATATTACAAACATACCTCTCTTATGAGATCCTGAAGTGGATCACAGTATCAAGTTAGAGAAAAAGAATGATAAGAACTCTGAATCATCATGAGGCCCTCTTTATAGCATGTCTCAAGATAAACTTCTTCTTCTTTGAAAGACACTCAATGATCTGTTGAATAAAGAATTCATACACATTAGCAACTCTTTCACTGCAGCCTCTATTCTCTTTGCAAAGAAATCAGATGAAGAACTCTGATTCTGTGTGAACTATTGAGATCTGAACAGATTGACAAAGAAAGATTGATATTTCTTATCTCTCATCAATGAAACCCTAGCACAGATCAGGCAAGCTCAATGATTTACAAAACTAGATGTTATCACCATGTTTCATAAGATTCATATTGCTGAAGAAGATGAATGACTTACAGTATTTCAAACATATTATGACCTCTTTGAATGAATAGTCACACTCTTTGAACTGGCTAATGCCCTCAGTACATTTCAGAAGTATATCAACTGAGTGCTCTGAGATTTCCTTGATAAGTTTGCATCTACTTATCTAGATAACATCCTCATCTTCACTGATGAATTCAGAAAAGAATATCAAGAATATGTGTAAAAGGTATTACAACAGCTACAAGAAGCAGAACTACTGATAGATATTGATAAGTGTGATTTTAAAGTCAAGAGTATCAAGTATCTGGGTTTTATTATAGAAGCTGGCAAGAGGATTCAAATGAATCCTGAGAAAGTCTCTGCCATCCTTGAATGAGAAGCTCTGTATACTGTGAAAGATGTACAAAGCTTCATTGAATTTACTAACTTCTATCAGTGATTTATACAAAACTTCTCAGATATCATGAGATCACTTACAGACCTCACTAAGAAAGACTCAGTATTTCAATGATCAGTGAACACTGAAGCTGCATTTACACAGATGAAGAAGATGTTCATTAATACCTCTCTGCTGATAACATTTGATCCTGATCATAAGACAGTTATTGAAGCTGATTCCTCTGACTACATGATAGAAGAAGTGATATTGCAATATAATGATGAAGATGTTCTATGATTATATGCCTTCATGTCTAAGAAACTGAGTCCTGCTGAATGCAATTATGAGATCTATAACAAGAAACTTCTCACAATTGTACACTGTTTAGAAGAATGAGACTCTGAACTCTGAAGTGTCTCTGAATTTGAGATAGTCACAGATCATAAGAATCTCAAATACTTCACAACTACCTGTAAACTTATCAAATAACAGATGTGATGATCTGAGTTTCTAAGTCACTTTCATTTTACAATACACTATCATCCTGGCAGTCAGAACTTGATGACAGATGCCCTCTCACAACAAGAGCAAGATATGTCATCTGATATAACAGATACTCACTGAATGAACTGAGAGCACTGGCTCTTGAACCTGAAGATATTAATTGATCAAGATAGAACAGCTCACAGCATTATACATACTTCTCTGATTAGAACTGACATCAATATCTTCACTTTCTCTACACTGAATGAACTATAATATACAGCAGCTCAGGCTGATGAACTCCTCTAGATTCTCACTGAAGCAGTATGTCAAGAAGCACTCTGATTTCCCTCAGAACTACATATCAGAACTGATATCTCAGAATGCTTAATTGATGACAATAACACTCTACAATTTCATGAATAATGCTGAGTCTCTCACTCCAAACCCTTATACACTCAGATAATGCAAGAGATGCATGATTTGCATATAACTGATCATCTGAGCTGTAAACAACTGTATAGAATGATCTTCTGAGAATTCTACTGATCTGAGATATCAAACAGCATCAGATGCTTCATTCAAAACTGTAATCACTGTTCTTCTGTTATCTCATGAAAGAATCATAGAAAAGGTCTACTGAAATCACTCAATGTCTCTGATAGAATCTGATGAGATGTAGCAATTGACTTCACTGTTGATCTATCTGAGAGCAAGAACTGCAGAAACATCCTGGTCATTGTTGACTGACTAAGTAAGAATGTAATATTGAAACCTTATGATAAGATGAATGCTGAACAAGTTACTGAAGCCTTCTTATAAAGTTCATTCTATTAAATATATGAATTGCTGAGATTGATAGTATCAGATTAAGATCATCAATTCATGAGTGCTCTCTGAACAAGAATCTGTCAAGTTCTCAAGATTACATGCTGTCTGTCAACTGTCTATCATCTCAAGATCAATGATGCATCAGAATGAATAATTCAGACTGTAAAGAATTATCTTTATAAGTTCTGCAATCACTTATAAGATGATTGACATGACCTTCTTCTACATGCAGAGGTTACTATCAACAGTTGAGATGCTGTTTCAACAGATGTAAGCCTGTTCTTCCTTACACATGAGTATCACATGAAAGTGTTGAACCTTCTAGAGATCACACAGTGCACACTGAACCTCTGTAGTTCAATTCAGATTGCTGATAATATAGTAACAAAGCTTCAAGATATTCACAACTGAGCAGAGGCCTTCATGACAATCATAAAACAAGATCAAGAAGATCAAATCAATATTTAACAAGATCTCACAGAGCAGTATAAGATAGAAGATCTTGTATGATTGAATCTCAAGAACATACAAATCACACATTCATCTCATATGCTAGACTACTGCCATGTCAGGTATAAAGTGATAGAAGTTCTAGATAGTCACAACTACTGTCTTGACACATCATCAGAGATTCATGATGTATTTCACACAAGCTTGCTCCACTGCGCTGTCACTGATCTGTTCTCTTCTCAGCTGACTTCTGACTGACAGCCGCCAGGCATCATAGGAGAAGATAATGAGCTTGAGTGAGAGATTGAAGATATTCTCAATGAGAGATCCCGCGGCCGCGGCTGACAATATCTGATGAAATGAGTCAGCTATAATCAACTGACCTGGACTCTGAGTTCTGTGTTATTCAAAACAGCAGCCCTTGACTGATGGGAACTGCTTCTGAAAAGGGGGGGCTAATGTGGCAGGCTGTGCCTGATCAATCATATAGACTATTCCATTACACTTCACAGATTCTTTCATTCCTGATCACCGATCCGCGGCCACTATGAATGCGCGTAGCATACACTTCAATTCTCAGCCACTTCTGATTGCTGATCCACAGCCGCTATGAACGCGCGTAGTGTACACTTCAATTCTCAGCCATTCCTGATCACTGATCCTCAGCTGCTATGAACGCGTGTATATTCTTCCGCCCTGAAGCTCCACCACATACACCACCACATACACGTATAAATATCCATCTCAATCACTGATTCTCGCACTTTCTCTTTCTTTCCTTCTCTAATGTTTTTATCTTTGTTATATAAGACCTATCAATATTATACCGATCTATTCAGCGTAGGCCCCTTACATTAGTGTAGATGAATTATCAGCTTTAATATTCTTCTCTTTTAAATTTTTAAAACAGAGTTTAAGATCAGTTCAAGATTTATCTAACTATTATAAATCTGATTATTTCTAAGTCTTTTTAAAGCAGCTTGACTATTAGAGAATATTCATGTCTCTTTCAAACTATTTCCTCTTTTATAAGATTTTATTTTAATGAGTTTGAAAGCTTTTACTATTATAAATAGTTCAGTATTAAAGACTTCAGATTCACAGTCAAAATTCTAGGAATCTGAGATAAAATTAATATTATCTTCAGTATAAGCAATGTCTATATCTAATCTATTCAAATTCTCATTTTTAAAGTTATCTGAATAAATCAGAATCAAGTCTTCTATATTAATTGTAGAAATTCTCTTTAAATGCTGTTCATATTCTTTCTTCTTAGATAGTTCACTTATTTATAAGTCTATAAGAGATTCAAGCTTTTCTCTTTAGAGAGATATCTTCTCATGATCAACTTTTTCAATATTTAAAACAGAAAATTGATTTTTAATCAGTGAGTATAGTCTGTACAGTTGAGAAGACATTTTCTTTGAAGAATTATTTTTATTTCAATCAAGAAATCTATTTCAACTCAGTTCATTTCCAGAGTTAATTAATAAAAATAAAGACTCTTTCTCTGATTAT